TGTCTGTCTATATAACTGCCTGTCTGTCTATATATAATTGTGTCTATAAATATATACTATCTGTCCGTCTATATATTTGCCTGTCTGTATGTATATAATGTCTGTCTGTCTACATATCTGTCTGTCTCTCTCTCTCTATATACACACACTGTCTGTCTATATGCCTGTCCATATACATATATATATACCTTGCATCTATTTATCTACTTGTTAATCAATCTATCTATCTATCTATCTATCTGTTTGTCTGTCCGTGTGGGTGAGTGTCTGACCAGGCCATGGTGATATGGTGGCTCTATGGATGGCGTCAGCGGCTGTGGATTTGCAGTAGTCAGACTCCAGCAGGGTGTTGAAGAGTGTGGATTTGCCGGCGTTGGCCATCCCGATCAGGTACACGTCTCCCCGGTGCCTCCCGCGGGTCTGCAGGCTGCTGATCAGCGTCTCGATGCCGTAGCCGGTTTTAGCGCTGATGAGGTGGACGTCTCGGGGGTCAGCGGAGATGCCGGCGCGGGCGCAGTCCGCCATCAGCTGCCGCCGCACCCGCTGCAGGTAGTTCTGCGCATCTCCCGGCAGCAGGTCCACCTTATTCCCCAACACCACCACACGTTTGTTGCGTCCCAGCAGCTGCGGCAGGTCCGGGATGATGGAGTGCGGGAGATCCAGCAGGTCCAGGATCAGCAGAACCAGCGCGCTCAGGGGCCGTATGGAGCCCACCACCGCGCGGTACTGATCCGGGGACATCCGCACGCTCAGCGCCCTCTGCTGGTGCTGGATCAGGAAGCAGCGCTGGCACACGGCCCGCTCCAGCCCACCGCCCTCCAGCAGAGGCTTGTACTTCTCACTGGGCAGGTATCCGGGCTCCTGGGGGTCCGTGCAGTGCAGGAGGGCCCCGCAGCCGGAGCAGGAGGTCTCGCTGAGGGCCGCCTGCGCATCCGGAGAGCCGAACACCTTCTGCGGGCGCTTCTTCTTGGGTTTGTGCAGAGGGAATCCTTCATCATGGAAGTCTATCAGAGAGTGTTCCTCTACGGGGCCCTTCATGAGCTCCAGCTGTCTCTCCAGACCCCGGAGCTGCTTAGACTGAGTCCTGACCTCTCCATCATCATCACGGTGTTTTCTCTGAAGAGCTCCCAGCTGAGGGCCCCTCTCCAGCATCTCTCCATCATCATCATTGTTTCTCTGAGGCCCCCTGAGCTGAGGGCCCTTCTCCAGCACCTCTCCATCATCCTCATGTTCTGTCCCCCAGTCCGGGAACAGGAAGTGCTCCTGTGTGTGCGGCTCCAGCAGTGTGTGCGGCTCCTGAAGCGCCTTTAATGCCGGACCTCCTGCGCGTTTCCATCTGCGCAGACTCTCCGTCCGCGTCCCCGACAGATGTTTCACGAATGTACCCGCGTAGAGCCGCAGAACCGAGGCTCTGAGAAGCCTGTACATTATTCCGTCAACTTTATAAACACAGCGCCATCGCTAGACTCACGGCTACCTTGACTATCCAGCGACCCACGTGAGTTGCCTGTCGCACAATGTACGTCACTGATTTTAGAACACGGAATATTACGATAAAAATAACATTTTAACTCTTTGACTCTATATTAAACAATAAATGTGTGGTATTTAAAATAGTAAATAGATGAATATGTTGGATGAACTAAAAAAATCGTAAGAGCCGGAAGTGGCGTATAATCCCGCCGCCGCCTGTGTTGTCTTCAGAGCGGCTCAGACGTGAGGCGCGCGCAGAAACTCTGTTTGTTATCATCAGAATTATTGATAATAAGCGGTACAAATCATGTATGATCAAGACGAAGGTATGTGTGAGGACTTATAAGCTCACTATGTGCTTATTGGTTGTTTTGGTTTAGTGAAATATGTGATTTAATACCTAATTTTCAAGCGTTAACGCAACGTATATGCTAACCGGCTAACGTTAACTCTTGCTTTGTCAGAAATGAGCTAAACATGCATAACTTTACTAATATAACTATTGCAGATTTAATACAACTGTAGGCTTTAAATATTGCTTATTAATTGTGTAACGTGTGTTTTGTTTGCTAGGCCGCAGTATGTAATGTTCATTTTAGGATATAAGTTAATGTGTTGTTGTTAAACTCTGTATTATTCGACCTGTTGAAGTAAATACTCCATAATCACTGCAGATATCCAGTATGATGAAGATGATGATGAAATCACCCCTGACCTGTGGCAGGAGGCCTGCTGGATTGTTATCAGGTAATAAAACCCTGCTACAATGGAGAAACTACATAAAATTACATGTACAAAACTGACTTTATGTGCAGAAATCACAGTAAATGTGTATAAAGTTGTTTATAGTTGCAACAAAATGTGATTCTGCTTGAAATGCTGAAAAGCGTGTTGTTGTGTGTAAATCTAGTGGTTTGAAGGAGAGTGGCCACTAACTAAGATTTCACATGACAATTTTTGTGTATATTCAGGTCAAACTGTGAACTTTAAATAGAGTATATGTCATTAAACATGGCATTAAAGGATTCCTTATATATGAATGACAAGACTTGGGTGTTGAAACAATTTTTCCACTCATTGACATTGTGGTGGGCTTATTGTTCAGGAAAACGAAGACTTTCCATAGCATGGAGAAAATTACAGCTGTCTCGCATTGTTTTTCTTTAGCTAATTTTATTAAAAACCCATATTATTTGGAGACCCGTTGTATTTTTTTATTGAAAACCTATATTATATGAAGAGCCATATTATATTTGCCATTTTACTGGTTTGATACATACAAAACCCATATTACACAAAACCCCATGTTATTTTTTTAGTGCTGTAACAGACCACAAATCTCACTTTTCGGATTACACTACGGTATTTGAATCATGGATTGGACCATTTTTTGGATCAGCAATAAGGGAGGAGGCAAATGTAATTTGCTTTTAATTTATACAAGCATATTACTGCAAAAACTATTGTTTTAAACAAACAGACCTTAAAGCCTGTCATTTTAACAAAAATGAACATCATGAATGAACAGCTGAAGAAAAGGAAAATATTCAATAGGTAAAATGATGTTTGCTACTGCTGCTGATAATGCTAAACATGGAAATCTAACATCGTCTACAGCACAGGTGTCAAACTCAGTTCCTGGAGGGCCGCAGCTCTGCACAGTTTAGTTCCAACCCTAATTAAACACACCTGATCAAACTAATTGAGTCCTTCAGGCTTGTTTGAAACCTACAGGTAAGTGTGTTGGAGCAGGGTTGGAACTAAGCTGTGCAGGGCTTCGGCCCTCCAGGAATTGAGTTTGACACTCCTGGTCTACAGCATAACACATTTATTTACAATTAATGATTCAACAGTTCACTTAAAACTTCCTGTTTCATCATAGATGGATCGTCTCTGCAAACCTTTTCAGTGTCATCATTTTGATGGTTGTTTGTCGCCATTGGTTAAACAGTGTAATTGCTACAACATTCACCAGCGTCAAGTTCCATTAAACACTGATTTTATTCTTTACCATAAACATCAGAGTTTATATCTGAACTGTAAACCGTCTCCCAGCACTGCTGTGGTATTTAATTGTTTGTAACTCACTGAAAATATTGTATAAACTGAATTTCTCTCGACCGAGCGCCGATTTGAAAGCATCGCTTTGAAGGATTAATAATGTTATGTGTGTATTTAATGTGTATGGCCATACACCCAAAGCACTTTACAATCATGAGGGGGGGTCTCTCCACACCACAACCAGTGTGCAGCATCTACTTTGATGATGCGACGGCAGCCACAGGACAACGGCGCCAGTGCTTCACCACACAGCAGCTATAGGTGGAGTGAAGAGACAGTGATGGAGCCAGTTCAGTGGATAGGGATGATCGTTAGGGCCGATGAAGGGACTTTAGCCAGGACACCGGGGTTACACCCCTACTCTTTACCAGAAGTGTCATGGGATTATTAATGACCACAGAGAGTCAGGGCCTCGGTTTAACATCTCATCCAAAGGAATAAACATATGCAAATGATTATTATTTGTCGTTCATGTTGCGCGGGTTTGAATTGAGGTCATGATATTTTAATGTTAAATTCTGCAGCTTTAAGCTGAGAGCATTAATGCAGGTTATACAAACTGACAGAAAACACCTTTAGTTAATAACCTGAGAAAGCTTTTAGGTCACACTACAACCCCGAACTGTGGGTTGTGATCCATGCGGATCACAGATCCACCATGATCCAGTTCACCCCACTCATTTTTTTATCGTTTTGTTAATTTGTTTGAAAGCCCGTATAATTAGTTTTGTTGTTTTGCTAAATTGATTGAAAACACATTATATGAAGACTCATATTTATCTTTTTACAATTTTGACTCAAAACCCATATAAACTGAAAACCGTTATTAATTTTAACGCTTTGCTAATTTGTTTAAAAACGCATATGATACAGAGATCCATGTTAGGTGTCTTTGCTTTGCTCGTTAATGTTCACTCGTGTGTTTTCAGCTCGTACTTTGATGAGAAGGGTTTGGTGCGGCAGCAGCTGGACTCCTTCGATGAGTTCATCCAGATGTCTGTGCAGAGGATAGTGGAGGACGCTCCACCCATAGACCTGCAGGCTGAAGCCCAGCACACATCTGGAGAGGTGGAGGAACCGGTGAGTGGACACGGCTTAATTGAGTTTATTGCCATTGTACTGGATAATGAGATGAAAAGAGAGCAGCCCACAAAGTAAAAGTGCAAAGTGCTAGACAGAATGCCCAATGATGCAGGGATTATAGTTCTCCCTTCATGAGTGCCTGAATATTCATTCATTCATTCTCCTTCAGCTTAGTCCCTATATTCATCAGGGCTCGCCATAGTGGAATGAGCTACCAACTTATCCAGTATATGTTTTACACAGCGGATGCCCTTACAGCCGCAATCCAGTACTGGGAAACCCATACACACTCATTCACACACTCATTCACACACACTCATACACTACGGCCAGTGTAGTTGATCAGTTCCCCTATAGCGCATGTGTTTGGACTGTGGGGGAAACCAGAGCAGCCGGTGGAAACCCACGCCAACACGGGGAGAACATGCAAACTCCACACAGAAACACCAACTGAGACTCAAACCAGTGACCTTCTTGCTGTGAGGCCACAGTGCTAACCACTGAGCCACTGTGTCCCCCATTGCCTGAACACAGCATCTAGAATACTATGTTTAATGGTTTGGGAATTGTTCAACATGTTTAATAAATAGAATTACACAAACATGTCTAAAATATATTTGTATGTGTGTGTTAAATGTGTTGTGTGTAGGTTTCTGATTCTACCAAGGCATCAAAATACCAAATATTTTTTCATGTTTGCACAAAACTTGTCAAGTGAACATACTAAAACATCTCGTCTTTAATCTCTATTGCCCTCAAATATTTAAATAATGATTGGATCAAAGGAATGTGCCCTGAAAAAAATATTCAGAATTAGTTTGACTTTAATCCATGATAACGTCAACATCTTTGGCTGTTGTTGGAGCTCAAAGCCTGTGTACGCCACTGCTGTCATATGCATTAATGAGTCTCTCTCTAAACTGAATTGTGTGTTTGTTTGCATTTCTGCAGCCTCGATACCTGCTGAAGTTTGAGCAGATCTACCTGTCCAAACCCACGCACTGGGAAAGAGACGGCGCTCCGTCCCCTATGATGCCGAACGAAGCCAGACTTCGAAATCTCACGTCAGTGATGATGATGTTTGTGTATATATAGTGAATGTTTAGTATTCTTATATTTAATTCCATTAATTTCCAAGTGATGAGGATACTTATGCATATGTAAAGTTGTTTAAATTTTTAAAAAATATTCCCCAAATGATGTTGAACAGATTCAGGAGTTGTTCACAGTGTTTCCTCTAATATCTGTTCTTCTGGAGAAGGTCTGATTTGTTTTATTTGGGCTAGAATAAAAGCAGTTTTTAATTGTTTTAAAGTCATGTTAAGGTCAATATTATTGGCCCCTTCAGCAATATTAGTGTTGGATTGTGTCCAGAACAAACCACTGTTATACAATGACTTGCCTAATTACCCTAACTTTACCCTAATTACCCTAGTGAAGCCTTTACATGTCACTTTAAGCTGAACACTAATGTCTTGAAGAATATCTAGTCTAATATTATGTGCTGTCATCATGGAGAAGAGGAAACACATCAGCTATTAGAGAGATGTTATCAACACTATTATGATTAGAGACGTGTTGAAACAAATCTCTCCATTAAACAGAAATTGGGGGAATAAGCTTAAAATAATTCAAATTTAACAGGAGGGCCAATCATTTTGACTTAAATAAATAGGCTATATATTAGTGTTGTATATTGAACTCAAACTTAAACTTAAGTATTTAACAGGTTTTATTGTGTGTGATTTGCAGGTATTCTGCTCCTCTGTATGTGGACATCACAAAGACCATCATAAAGGACGGGGAGGAGCAGCAGCAGACGCAGCATCAGAAAACATTCATCGGCAAGATTCCCATCATGCTCCGCTCCACGTACTGTCTGCTGAGCGGGCTGACGGACAGAGATCTCTGTGAGCTGAACGAGTGTCCACTGGACCCCGGAGGATACTTCATCATCAACGGCTCAGAGAAGGTCACATCTCAGCCCTCTGAATGATAACATAAATGCATCAATGCTACCTGCCAATAATATGAGCTGTAGATTAAGGCGGATTGTAAATCATGATCTGTGTTTGCCGATATTTGGTGTATATATAGTGCTCAGCATAAATGTGTACAGCCAGTTTATGAAAATGAATATTTTTATCCTTTTCTCAGTGATTATAGCTCATATTTTGGTGCATTTTAACAAAAATGGTTCAATAAATAGATGTATTTATTAAAATACTAATGTAGTCTCTGAGCATCTTTAAAAATAGAAAGATAATTCTTTTAAATTGATGCAAAATATTGCAGTACAATTAAAAACCACAAGATTTTAACACAATTAATAAATTTAATGAATCTAACTGCTAATTTTCTGGACAGTTCTCAAGTTATTTTAGGTTAGTTTCAGATTTGGCTTCAATACTGACTAATCTAGTGCATATAAAGCATCCTGTAGAAAATATGAGTTAAAATGAGAGATCTGTGAGGGGTGTACTCGTGTTTGCTGAGTACTGTATTTACATGTTGTAAACATTTCCACACTTCAGACTAAAACAATCGCCAGGGGCTAGTCTTCATCTCAGCACCCTGGCATCCATTTGTGCATCTTTCTCTCTCTGATTGAAACTCATGACATGACTGCTCATTTACTGCCCAAGCCTGTGTAGAAGGACAGAAATTAAGGTTTTTAAAATTAAGCTAAATGAAATGAAGACACACAGCTCTATCCTGCAGAATTGCACCGTGTTGTTTCTCCTGAATGATCTGTGTTGTGTGTTTTCCTCAGGTTCTGATTGCTCAGGAGAAGATGGCCACTAACACAGTGTATGTGTTTGCCAAGAAAGACTCCAAATATGCGTACACCGGAGAGTGCAGGTCCTGTCTGGAGAACTCGTCCAGACCCACCAGCACCATCTGGGTCAGCATGATGGCCCGAGGAGGACAGGTAGTCCTAGTTTCCATCCTAATGGGAAAAAATCAAAAGTGAATCAGCTGCATTTATATCATTGTTAGAGCGGCTGTCTGTAGTATTGGTAGCCTATAAACTAATAATAAACAAGGCAACCATAATATAGACCCTTTTCACATTTCCCGGTTTCTCTTCTAGCCAAAGTCGTCATAGTTGAGAAAGCTTAGACATCAGTGAATGGGAGATTACAACAAATACTTTTTTACAGTTTTATTTGCTGCAATAAAAATAGAAAAACATCCACAATGATGTTATAAAGACTTTCAGAAAGAGGACAAAAATAGTGTGAGACAGATAACGGCAACCAGAGGAGAGAATAATGTCAGATTTACTGTCCTGTCCAATAGATGCTGCTTTAGAAATGCCTTGCGCAATCGGTAATTCGTTTTCAGAGATGATAGAATACATACATGAATGCATATAAATATTGAAAACTTTCAAGGATTAAAGATGATGATGAACCGATAAACATGTTATAACAGGCTTGTAAAAGGGTCTATGGGGTCGCATGGATGTAATGTGCACTTCAGCCCAGTTTATGTGGAATTTTTTAAAAGTTCAAAACCACCTCAAGTGAGCATAACGTGTTTTTTATTGAATAAAAGGTGCAGTATGAAGGATTGGCAATCTAAATTCCAAATATTGGATTTATTTAAGTTTTTAACTCGGCCCGTCCTCTTTAGACTGAAGCACATTCAGGTTGCCAGATTGACGACACTAACAGGAGCTAAAACTAAAATGAAGTATTCACTCTGGTAATTACATATGAAGCAACCATTCCATCTGGAGGCAGTGAATGAGGCATAATGTGCAGTGCATTTATCGTGAAAGTGTGGAGTTTGTCCTAATGGCATCTTCTACACAAATTCAAATAAATGGCCGTAAGCAGAAAGTTAGTTTTAGGTGAAAAACATCCGTGATTAAACTAGAGCGAGTGATGCGGTGCTTCAGGTTCACTGTGAGCTCAACGTTATACTGTACACTGCCCTGCTAATGTTACCTTTGTAATATGTGTATTATTTGCTGGTTAAAACCACCTCAGGTATTTTTATAACTCTGATGCCTCATGCACACTAGCTGTGACTTTGTATCTGCCTGTCGCTCTTGGTGGCGACCTGCTGCAAATGCAGGCCTACAGCACGGAGAATACAACCGGCCTCTGAGCAAGCAGAGAGGGTATCACGTGAGCTCTACTAGTGCTCCTATTGGCTGTCGCTCAAGAAGGGTTCTCAACTTTGTCATATCGCTAGACACACCCACCTGGTCGCGAACGGTCACTGTCGCTCGTGTAGGCGGAGGTTGCTGGAAGTCACTCACTTCTCATTGAAATGAACAGTTGCTTATCGCTTTGCTGCTGCGTAGGGCTGCACGATATTGGAAAAAATTGACATTGCGATATTATATACAGTATATATATATATATATATATATATATATATATATATATATATATATAAGACTAGGGCTGTGACGGTCACCGAGACAACCGCATCACCACCGTGGTCAGTTGCCACCGCCGTTGTCCATTGCCACCGGCTTTAGTACGTGACGTCACGCACTTTAAAACACAAATTACTAATAATGTTGCCAAGTATTACATATCTGTTAGAATATAACATTAGGCGCGATTCAGCAAGTTCAAGTTCAACCATGAAGCTTGTTAGAAAACGAAATCTTACATCTGGGAACATTTTGGATTCATGCCGACCGAGAAAGGTGAACGAATTAATTTAGATTAAGCTTTTTGTAGGGGGTTTTTAAGTGTTAAAGTGTGTTTTAATATTCACTGCTGAGAGTCCAAACACTAAGGAGCAAATCCATCGATACGCAGATCCACGGGTCCCGAATCATGCAAGCCAGTGGCGATTGACGGCGAGAGAAAAAAGCCATGTAGGCTTAATCAACTCCTGTCTTCTAAACGCAGAAGCCCAGCTCAGCCAGGCATGGCAGAGGCATTTGCAAAAAATGGCCAGATACAAAAGAGAAAGTGATAAATGGAAGACATTGACGAGAAATGGAGCAACATATTTGGTAACTAGTTAAGAAAACAGAAACAAGAAGCCCTCTCTCGCATGGTTGTGGAAAAGTAGCCTGTCTGTGCATTTTTGCTACAAGCACACCGTCTGACAGTGTATTGCTGGAAACATTATAACCCCATTCTTCACTTAAACCGGACAAAGTCAACATGTTAGTTTTTCTGGCAAATAATTTAAAATATGAATACAAAAGGTGGAGAGAACCTACGTTGTTTTTTTAAACATCTGACTTATATTGTTACTAGGTTAATATTTACTTTTTACTTATAATTATTAATATTTATATTATTATTACACTGATTAGTAAAGTGCCATTTAGGCTATTTGTTAAGTTCTTTAAAAAAATGTCACGTTTAATTGTTATTATTATACGGTTTCAAGCAGTTAAAGTAATTTAATATTTAACTACAATATTTAAAAACAGTTTTGTGTTTTATTAACGAAAGTTCAAAAATAAACACGTAGGCCTACGTTTATACGGATGTTTTATTTATTAATATTTAATTAAGTTAAGTTATTCCTTAATTTTAACATAAAAGGTCAATTAATTTATGTAGGCTACATTATTTGTTGATGTACGAGATCGAGGAACATGTTTGCCAGTAAATAATGTTCGCACCACTTAAAAAAAAATAAAATAAAATAACTTGCGAAAAGGATGCAATAAAAAATGCCAGCGCTTAATCATTCTTCACAATCGGATTCGTAAGTGCAATAAGCCGAGGCTATATTGCGCCGACAAGAACAAGCCCTAAAACTAAGTCTAGAGAGAGAATTAATACTAGTTAATATTAATGATTATAAACACGAACTGCGTTGTATGATAAACGCCTCACACTGTCATGATCTTTTCTGAAGAACAGATAATCCATGTTGTCACCGTCTCCCCAGCCAGGTTTTCATCTGCTTTTTTTTCTTCTTCTCGCTACAAACAATAAAGTATCAGCGCCAGACCAGTGGTTTAAATTATATTTTACTCTCCTGATTTCTTTTCTTTTTATAAAAAAAAACATAAATGTTTAAAGTTTTGTATTGCATATATATTTTTAAAGATTATCATTCAGCTTACCTGCAGCAAGAAGTTGTGTGCTGGGCAAATCCCCTTTAACCATGCTACCTATTTCATTTATGACACTGTAAACTTGACTTGGCAGGCTGATCATCTTTAAACTCAAAAAGGTATTTTTAACTTCTGCATAATGTGATGTTTCTTATTACAACTGTTAGCGGTGTCAAAATGAAAGCAATTAAACAATAAAAAGGGTTTTGTTTTATCAATTGTATAGTTTAGTTTTAATAATAATGTATATAATAAATTATAATATTGATTATTGTGTAGACTACAGTCTCCAACAAAACATTGTTATTAGGTTAATAGACCTAATCCCTAACTGAAAAACGAATGTGAAAATGACAGGCAGTTGCGTCTCTGCTAAAATTAATTTAACGACAAATTTCTTTTGCATTTTTCCCCTGTATTTAAATAATTATTTAACTAAAACATGAATTGATTGCCCAGTTCTTTCCCGTGTGAGTTTAGTGCGCCTCCGCATCTGCGTTTTAAAGTTTACAGGTGCACCCTGAACTGACGCGGGGACCAGATCTCTGCACTATTGCCTTAATTTCACAATTTTCATAACTGCATTGCATTTTCATATGGTAAAATATCAAAATTTATGTTCTGAAAGTAGTAATGACGGGAGTGTTAGTAATTAATGACAGAAAGAACTTTCACTTTTGAGTGAACTTCTGTCACGTGTTATTTTAGTATGATGAAAAAAAAAATTTAACAAAAATAGTAATGCAGAATTTTTCGCTCTGCCAAGCCTTCTCTGTTGCTGTTGTGGAGCAGCAGCATGCTTCAGTCACCCTTTTTTCCCCGGCTCCACTCCGCCTCCGACTCCTGAGTCTCACTCACTCACTCACTCATGCGGGCATGCACTGCGGTCTCATGAGGAAACGCAGCTTTTTGATATAATGTTTTTCTTGTTCCCCGAATACAAATCATTTTTCAAGTATTTGTTCGAAATAAGTATTGGTAAAAACACGTTATTCGTGCTCATCCGAATACCGTATCCGGGTTCTGCTCCACCCATAATACATATAGCCTATATATATAATTTTTTATTTTATTTTTTTTTTTGCATCGCACCCTCCAGCGATGTGACTATCGCGGATGTGCACATCACGTATCGTGCAGCCCTACTGCTGCGAGTTGCTCGTAGTGTGAATGAGACTTGAGTCTCTCATTTCTGCAGTTGCTTCTGTCCACCAGAGGGCGCATTTTCATCTGCATCCGCATATATTTAGAGCAGGGGTGTACAAGCTCTGTCCTGGAGGGCCGGTGTCCTGCATAGTTTAACTTCACCTTCCCTCAACACACCTCCCTGTCCAAGTGAGTTTCTAGTATAATTAGTAAGAGCTTGATTAGCTGCTTTAGGTGTGTTTAATTGGGGTTGGAACTAAAATATGCAGGACACTGGCCCTCCAGGACCGAGTTTGCCACCTCTAATTTAAAGCCTTGATGACTGAATT